TTCCTAATGTCTTACAGAGTTACCCCCAATCCGGCAGTACCAGAAGGAAAGTCACCAGCCGAGTGTATGTTCGGAAGAAAAATTCGCACAGTCTTCAACAGTATGTTGCCACCTAGAAAGACAATAAAACGGATGAATGAGTATCGTACAATCACTCGTAGCTTCCAGGTGGGTGAAAGGGTACTTGTCAAAGCCTATCAAGGTAATAAGAGATGGGAACCAGGTGTCATAGAACGTCGAATCGGAAATGTACTGTACCTAGTCCGGAAGGGTGTCGGAAAATGCATAAGACACATGAATCAAATGCAAAGAGACAGTAGTACAGTGGTCCCAGGAAGCCGGCTCCCATTTCAATTGCTCGTGGATTCACCTCAGAAAAGCCATCATGAGTGCAAACATAGAGGAGGCAAACGACGCAAGGGAAAAGTTGTACAACCCTCGAGAGTGATGGACCGTAAGAGGAATGCGGCCACAAAGTTCCAGGTGGATCCGAGAAAGAAATCTTACACAACGGACTTTAAAGGAGGGAGGTGTGACGACGGACCACGGGTGAACTCGAGGAAGCTATAAGAGGCTCAGAAGGAGCCGAAGATTTTCCATCCAATCACCGTTAGGAAGGATATTCTAGAATCCCTACGTGTAGCTTCCCGATTGGACAAGGCTAATAACCCCCTGTATGCGGATTGGAGGACTATAATGATGATTTTTGTTCGTACTAAAACTATAAATACCTGACAATATGTACCCATAATTGACACTGTTTGGAATAACATTCCTTTCACTAGTCTTCTGTCTTCTCTTTGCGACTTGGAAGGGTTTGGGCGTTCGTGTGTTCAGTTGTACGCGTTATATCAAGTAAATCAACCATTTCTAGATATAACAGTTCTGTTCACATTGATGCAACACCAGCATGATTCTGTCAACTGTATTAGTTTGGTACTGCATGGCCTTACGGCTTTGAAGTGAATTTTAAGGTGTTTCGCAACACTACATAGAGTTTCTTGTACACTATGGCATATTAGGACTGAAATGCTTTGCCAGCTCAATTCTTCATCAGTGTCAGGTGATAGCCATGTTTCAGCGAGGATGGCGATCTTCAGATCTAAATAAAAGCAAATGACTTTAATTACATCTAGAATATGCCTAAGTTCTAACATGTTGTTAAGAGTTGCATGCAGCATTATATACTACTTCGGTATCAGTACATTTAACTTTTCTGCTATAATAATAGACGTAATCTAAAAAATATGGAATTGTCATGATGTAACTACCTAATTTATAAGATCTTACGTGAAAGTCACATCATGGTCTACACTGACTCGTCCTATCCTGAACGTCAGTAATGTAACGCCTAACACTTCTAAAGAACACATTTTAGGAAGAAATATATCAAATACGAAACAAGAGGTTATATGAGTTTAAGACGTGTGGATGGCCGAGGTATGCTATCTCGAATGATTGATTCCGCGTTCACCAATAATAATGGTACATATTCTCAGTTAACAATATGTTACACGAGGCATGCCAGTTTGAGAGCAAGACCAGATTGTTACAAATGCTGAAATGTTGGTTATATAAACGGGGTGTAAATTTTCACGCATTAGGATATTAGTGTTTGTAAGATTCTACTGTTCAAAACGAGTATTGTCGAGCCGTGTGGATGGTGTATTATTAAGACCGAAGCAACTTATCGGAAAATACATTTAAAGACTCCAAAATATTTGTTTTAATTCTTAATACGCTGTAAATAAAAATCTTCAGGAATATTATTTGGGCGTTAATCAAGTGGGATTGTTATGATGACGAATGATTCATTATAGAGAGGGTCCATCGATTGCGTCATCCATCACACAGTGGACCTCATTTTCAGATTTTATATTTACCACGAAAGTGTCTACTGGTGTTTTTGTCCGGGGACCTATTATTCTTGATAAAGCATCAGCTTGCCGCTGCTGGAACACCTTGTAACACGGTATCCATAAATGCCAGCAAATAGAGGGCACCGTCTTAACTCCAAAATGTGGTCGGTTATATCGGAACATACCGTTTTGTGTGTTGATTGTTAGGCGATCATTACTTTAATCTGATACAGAGGTTTTTAAATAGGCATCTGATAAATCCAGTTTCGCAGATCACCTGCCACTGTTCAGCTTGGCGAAAAGATCTTCAGGCAAAGGTAAAGGATATTGGTGAGAAAACAGAGCTTCATTTAGTCCACTGGAGTAATCTGCACATGAGCCAACGCTGCCGTTAGACATTTTGACCATCATTATTGCTCAAACCCAATCCGAGACGTTCACAGGCTTGATAACATCCATTTTCTGCAGCTATTTAAGTTCCTCTTCAACCACTGGGAGAGCAGCATAAAGTGCGGGATTTGTAGGTCGAAAAACGGGAGTAGCTGTAGGTCTAAGGGTTGCATGGACATCGGTGTAATCAATGAAAGACAGTGACACCTGAGCGTCTGACGCTTGATAAGACTTAAGGGATGGGAATAGTTTATGTAACAGTAACTTACAGTTTGTCAAGACGGACATGCCTGACAGATCACTCATTTTTCATATGTAAAGAGATTCTTCCGAAATAGAACTAAAGTTGGGTTCACACACGACCTACGACATATTAGGCCAATAATTAGTAAGCTACCGTTGAAAACTGCAGCTGGAATTAGCATTATTAAGCGCTACAGAGTGGGACAAAAATTGAATTCTGAAAGTACTTTGGCAAGCCGTCTCTTACGTTACTTTTGATTCAATTGAGGCAAGAGGCTTGATATAGGTAAATTTACGCAAATAGACTGGATCTGGAATATGTCGTACAAATCTCAGTCTGATTGATCATACTGAGAGACTAACAACAGAAGGAGAAATAAACGGGCGCTGTTTGCAGGCTGAAAATGTCTACACTTATGTGACATCTTGATGTGAAATTTTAGATTGAAAGGACCACACACCACCCAGAGTTGTGTAAGTTAGTAATTCATAGAATTAAATGTGTGCTATACAAATGCTCTCAACATACTATATATAAGATGGAAGAGCCAGAATACGTGGTGGATATAGAAAATACTGATGTCATTGCCACCTCAGAAACATGAGTAATGTCAGAAATGTATGATAGTGAAATTCAGCTGTTTGGTCTTTTACTTTGTGGAGCTAATAGACTAAATTATAAAGGTTAAGGGGTTATGTTATGCATGAAAAATACCATAACCATACGAGCTGTCGAGAGTGACATGCACTCAGGGGCATATGAACTGATAAGCTACAGGCTGAAATGCGAATGGCAAGACATCAAGTTAGTTGTAGTATAACACAGTCCAGAATGCGTAACGGATGAATGCCCTCTAAATAAACTTAGTTCCTGATCAAACAAGTGTAAGGACATCATAGTAGGCGACTTCAGTACACACTATAAATCGGGGAAAGTTAGAAGTAGAGCCATTGAAAACATGCCAGTTTATTATGCAAAACACCTCATCAAATCGGGTTTCTAATTCTGAACTGGTTTAACGTCCTAACGAGTAATACTATTACAAGTAAAACTAGTCAATTCGCTAAGTACGAAACCTGCTCATCACTCTATAAAATCTATAAAAAAAACAAGCTGGAGTAGTTTCGACAAAAATAGAAGACAGTCATTAGTATATAAAATACTTTCTTCAGTACAATATTTTAAAACTACACGTAATTATATTTTCTCAGCTTCTTTTTGTATCACCTCTATTTATACAGTTCTTTGTACATCCAGACAATATTTTTGCTTGTTTTTTTAACCTATTAGGATTCCCTTGCTTAAAAAGTACATTAATAAACGAGAAACAGACTAAACACTCGTACCTTAACTATTCCATTACTAATAACTCAACTTCAATAGGCATGCATATTGTTTGCTTCGCTTATCTTTCTTTCTTTTTCTTACTCTCCTTTTCAGCTCCCTCGAAGTATGTCACCGAAAACACGTACGAAACGGATAGCCTCGTCCTGCGCCATCATTAGTGCTTCAACTATTCCAGAATGATATAAGGTTTAGGTTTTTAGAAGCTCTCAAGTTTACGTGGATTTATTCTTGACCATCTGCTCGTACGTCGCAAAGCAACACCCATAATCCGCGCCAATTGTCGTATTTACAATAAGAGCCCTACAAATATTATATACATTCATATATGAGGGGAGTTATTTGTTGTAATTCTATGACCCATGTAGCTTAAAAAATATCAATCTAACTGGGTAACCTAATACAATGAAAACTGCATTGTAGAGGAGAGTAACTCCCCTAAATCAATAGCTCTGTAAGTCTTCGAAATTGGATGCTGACCACATTAGTTTTAATGGACTCACCTAGCTGAAAACACTTGATCATGCATCCGCATCAGATCACAAATAGTAACGCCCAGTGGATCAGGGATTTCATGGTAGATCATAAACAGAAAGTAGGAATAGATCACAAATGCTCCTCCTGTTAACCAGTACATATTGGAGTATCCCAACACTTTGTCCTAGGCCATTTGCCTTTGGTACTGTATGTAAATAAACTAACAAGTGTAGTCGAGTACTCGACGCTCTTTTGGGTTGATGATGAAATAACAGGGGATGTAGATGCGTGTGCACTTCAAGCGAACTTAGATGTGCTGATTAGCTGGTCTCAAGAATGGTAGATGTCTGTTAACGCCGCTGAGTGTGTCCACATTTCAAGTTTGAACACAAAGATAAACAGGTGTAGCATAAGAGAAGAGCCAGTGTCCATAGTCCGGTTTCACAAGGATCTTGTATGACTGTGATCCATGAACTTGAGAATACAGCCCACTGCTGCAATGCTGGAGCTAAGGGATTTAGAACCCTATGGGCTTTAGGACGGACACATGAAAAGTTGGATACCAACATGTTCACCGCGGCATACAAAACATTAATGAGATCCAAAGTTTAAAACCCTTATTATAGCGTGACTCGGATATCTTGAAAAAAGTACAGATGGCAACTAACAGTGAAATTCAAGAACTCGCGGGATTACTATACAAAGTGCGGCTTGATAATCTTATCCTCTTTGCTCTGTCTTGTTGCAGATTTGGAGGTGATCTGAGTTCAGTGTTCGGCCTACTAACAAAGATTATATTCGTTTATTGGCATTGAATATTGGATAGTGGGCTTGGGATGGAGAGCGCAATCTAAAGGCTGAAACATGCTGTCAGGTGATGCAGTTCTCCCAGAATTCGGATCCCTTAGTCTTAGCGATAATCCTACGGGTTGGGGCCCAACAGATATACCGGAAGAGTTTAAAAACATGCCTTTTCAACCATTTTCAAAGGATACTCGCTTAGGCAGAGTAAGCTTCCACTGAAATAATTCTTTTCGTAATTCGTTAGGTTGCAGATTGGTCAGGGAATATTTTTCAAGATATGAAAAACAAAGGTTTTACATAAACTTCACTCTTTGACATTTTTAGGTCGCTATGTCACTCAGTCTGTGGGCTCACAGTACGCTTACTATCATGATGAAGACGACAGCAATTTCCAACTAGTTTCTTCCGTTCGTGAGACAAAAACTCCTGCTATTCGTCAAAGATATAGATTCCCTATGGTAAGTTGAACCATATTCATCTCACGCAACCTTTTTTGATCGTTTAAGAACGGTTCTAGGGTTATTGATTCTAATGATGAGAATAAGTCACTCAGAAATATAACAAATCGAAAAACCTCTAAATATTGCCTTGATTCATGTACAGAACTTCTGTACTTTTCAATAGGATTTTCAAGGTAACAAAACATTTGTGTGCAGATTGTTTTTACTCAGTTACCACCTTCCGTTCCTTATGTATGTAAACTATGTTAGTTATTTTCCCTTATTGCGTTTGTGACTTGACGTAGTCATTCATCCTCCGTTTTATTTGTAATAAATAAATCACTTTCAGAGATATCAGTGGGGTTTGCCTGAGATACATAAGTTCTCAAGCAAACACATCAATAATCTGTAGTTTTGTTCATGCTTTTAGTGGGAGCTGAATGTTTGGTTCATTTCTACCATTTATTAACTGTAAGTCAGTGCCTCGAAACTTAGTTTCTTTAAAGCGATATGAACTTGTTCTATCTGCACTATGCTTCCAAATTTTGGTTTGTGTATTGAAGAGATGACTTACGACGTATGTTAACTTTTTCTAGTAATTTTCTCTTAGTGATTAGTCTTCGCTCGAATTAATCAATTACAACTGTAGGCACTACTCCCAAAAATTGATGACTAAGTGAGTAGATTTGTACGCCACCGGCACTCACTTCATTATTGCCTTTTGAACTCGCCGGCTATATTTTGATCTGGTAAGGAAGAAAAGATGTGACCATGTCTCGGTCACTGGTGCAGACACATATGCTTTTATATTGTTCTTGATTCCCAATATCCCTTCATACACAACTCAGCCCGTGCTATTTAATCATATCTTCAATGTTTTGTCTAATTTTGTTTGGTACTACAGAATTTTGACAGCTTTACCACTCGTTTCCGTATCTATAACTAGCTTTTCGTATTAGCATTCTAAGCGTGGTCAGTGTTCTCGTCTGTTATATATATATATTCACTGAAACATTTAAAGTTTAGTCTTTCATGTATTAATTACAGCGTGGCCGCCGCGGTTTGGGTGGTCCTGGTGCAGGATATTCTTGGGCAGGAGGCCGGTCAGGATATCAGATGATTGGAAACCAGGGTGGTGTAGTAAACCGTAAGCTACGCAGTGCATCAGACAGAGAGCGTATGATGTTACAACAGAATAGACGATGGCAACACTGGGGCCCCCAAGGTGTCGGTCAGCGGCGAGGGGGGACTCAAGGTTGGAGATCTAATGCAGGTGCTTGGGGCTCTAATAGTGATCGTAGGCAGGCCCACAGGGCAGTGCGTGATGCATCTATTCAAATTAAGGATAATTGGACGATGTTGGAAGAGCTAGATTTTGCTAGACTTGCAAAGTTAGCCCTACCTAACGTAAAGGAGCCTATTGACAAGTGAGTATTTTTGCAGCTGTTGCTTTTGATATAATTCTCAACCGTTGTAACAACTTAATTTATTATTTGTAGGGTTAATTGTGGAGAAATGGAGTATTACGACAAATCATATGATCGCGTTAGCACGCGAAACGAACGTCCTCTCGTAAGAGTAAATCGGGTTCTCCACACAGTTACAACCTCCAGAGATCCAGTAATTCACCGTTTAGCTAGCGACTCCGTTGGCAAAGTATATTGCACAGATACGATTGCTGCCATGATTATGTGTTGCACTCGTTCGGTGTATCCTTGGGATCTCATTGTACAACGTATACAAGACCGTTTGTTCTTTGATAAGCGCGAAGATGCTGAGTCTGGTAAGTTCGTATGTTTTTGCATAAAGTATTCGAACAATGGTTGGAATTTATTTATTATTTTATTATATATTTTAACTTATCTTGTAGAAGGCAGTTAGTCTAAACTGCATTGCATAGGTACTGCAGTTTAATTCGTTCTTGTTTGTAACTAATCTATTCATTTGCTTTGAAAGATGACAGACGTTTGTCAAACAACCAAAAAATTTCATATCATTGTGAGTCCGTTGTTTATTAGTCGTGCTGACTAGTTCATCACCATATACCTAACATGCTCTGTAAACGTGGTTGAGTAATTGACCGGCTGAAAAGTTTATCCATTATTAAAGCTGTTTAAACTGCTAGTTTTCAACGACACCAACTAGTATTTTACAAACACCAGAATTAAGACTGAAAAGGAAAATAAAACTTAAAAATCCAAAAGGGTGATCTATGGAGGGTTTTTAAAAGGTGTACAGCATAAAGAAATTTCATGAAGTATGGCATAGCTTCAGTAACTGCCTATTCTTTGTCGCATCTCGCATATTATGACGTCACAAGTAGAAGTCAGATTAATCGTATAAGCCACTATGTATGGATTTTTTAAGACTTGATCACTACTTACTTCAGTTTGTCACACGTTTTCGCATATCTTAATCAAGCAAACTTTACTTGCTTAGCCATTTTGATTATCCCAAAAACACTTTTAATTAATGTTAGTTTAGACTGCTACCTTGGTGCTTTATTTTAGCGCTGTGACAATGAATCTCAAACTTTTTGACTAACCTGTCTTCCTACTGGTTTTTCAGATCCGATTCCTTTTAGTTAATTACTTTAATATTGATTTTCCAAAAGTTTAAGTTCAAATTATACAGTGGTACTTAACTTTACGAATGCCTTGCTCTAAAACAGAATCCCTGTTTTTACTGCTGTAAAGTTGATTTAGTATCTCTGAATGTTCATCTACTGCTTACTGGGACGTGGTATAATATCGAGCAAACTAACACTAAAAATTCACTTGATATTGTTTTTGTTTTTCACTTGTTTGAATCTTCCCATTGATGTTTAGGACTGAAATTGTTCAGTCTCTTATTGGCATATGTGCATACTGTGCGTATGCCTCGATATTGCCTTAATTTACAAGCATTATAAGCAAAGGTGGATAGTGGCTAGCAGTGGAATCCAGGACGCGCGTTTCGTCCTATTTGGGACTCGTCAGCTGGATGTACCTGCATCTCAGAGTTGATGTTCACTCCGGGACTCGAACCCAGTACCGTCCGCTTCAAACGCCATCGCGTTATCCACTTAGCTACTGAGTCCTGATAGCCACTTGCTTGTGCAATGGGGTGAAGTTTAATTCACTTGATGTTTATGGGGTTGTTGTTCAACTACAGGTCATTTTGATGACCAGTAATTATTCCTATATTTATCCATCTAACCTACTGTTAGTGATATTATTTATAAAGCTGGGCGCATATACCGTACAAAATAAATATTTATTTCTCACAATCTTACATATAGATTTTGTTAGTGTATGTGAAACTGCAACAGAACCACCTAATGAAGAACCTGGTCATATTAATTCACCCCAGCGTTTGGCATTAGAAGCTACTTTTATAAATACCAATTTATCTCAACAAATGCTATTGATGGTAAGCGATACTTAATTTCTGTTTGAGTTTCAGATTTGTAGTTTTGTACTAGTAGTTGACAACTTTTAAAAAATACAGATTTCCGTCTTAAGTGTCCAGCCAAAACATATGACATCACTTATAGCATAATATCCCGATCCCTTTATTCAAACTTCTGAAGACACTTTCTAATATGCGATTAAATCAGATGATCAGATTTTATTCTTGACTAACTGAATAGTATTGATCATACACCATATTAGTGACCGAAATTCCCTAAAATGCAAACTGCCGTTTTTGTAGATATTTAGCTTTACGGTTTTTCAGGCTACGCATTATTTCGCACTTGGCACCGCCCATTAATGTCATTAGAGTTATCACTGTTTAATGATAAGAAATATAAGCTAATAAAAATCAGCTAGACTCGACCATACGACGCCTATGATAAAATTGCTTGGTTTCCTTCATTATTCAGAAAAAGCGATATCGTATATAATTATGTGTTCACGAAACAAATTGAAACAGTTTATTTTCGCTGGCTATCTATCTATCGCTGAACCAAAAGTTATCAGTACCCGATGGATCAGTGTGTTTAACAATTTTTCGGAGTTTAAATATCCATTTATGTCTAGTTCGAAACAAGTTCAGGTATAGCTAGTATTAAATGAGTTATCAAAAACCAGTTCTTTGATTAATAAATATTCTTCCCAATAAATTCTCATCAGATCTTACAGCTATAACTCATGTTTTTGACCATTATTTTCTCATAAATGTAAAACCTGATAAGAATGTACTAAAAAGAATATTCCATTCACTTCTCTGTTTTAATCAAAATAAAACTATGGTTCAATGGTTGAGATACCGGAATTACGATCATCCCGTCACTGGTTTGAAGTACATTTTCCTTCCGTTAAAGTTCAATAATTTTGTGCCATCTTAGCTCTTCATATTACAAAGATTATAGCTCGAAATTTGTTACGAAAACTGGATATCTTGCTTATTCTGTTGTTAATCAGTTGGTTTTCAGTCAGATACGTCTTACACATACCGGTACACCAGTATATTATTCTAGTTGGTTTTAAACATTTTTGACGGGAAATAAGTATAAAAATGAATTAATCTAAATAAATATGGTTGTTTACCATTTATATTGGGAATTTAAATTGACAAAATTATATCCTGTTGTTAGGGTGGTAAAACATATTCGTTCCCTGAAGAAAATCCCTTCAAAGATGATGAAGAGGAGGATGAAGATAGTCCAAATCCATCTCAAAACAAAAATCAAGAAGGAGGTAAAGAAGAATTAGGTTCTGTAGGATATCGATATCGCATATTTGACTTGGGAAATGATGTCCAAATGGTTATTCGTTGCGAAGTGAATGGTGTACTTCAACCGACTAATGATGATCAGCCAGCCAGTCCACAATTCGTATGTATACGCGCATTAAATGAATTTGATTCACGTGTAAGTTCTAGTGTACTCTTTTTACAAACATTTATTTTTCATTTTTATGCAGTAACGAAAAGAATAGGGTATAGAAAATGGCTATCATAAAGCACCATTAAGATAGTTCAAATACTCTCATTAACTTCAAATAATCACCTGTTCGGAAAATCATTAAACTTCATATAGTTTTTATGTAAAATATTTGTAGTTTCTTCTGATTGTTAATTTAGCATATCAGTCCATGCTTAAGATGATAACATTCTGATCCCGATTTACTCACTGAAAATGCTTCAGAAATCACTAAAACACACCTTTCTGTGATTTTAGCGATCTCTTGTAGGGTCTTAATTTTTCTCTCACACTATTTTTCATACAAATATCGTGACAAATTTACATAAAACGAAAAATCTCCATATTGAAAGTTAAACACAACATATCAAGGCGGACAATTTTGTTTCCAGTTAAACGATCAGGCTTCAATATACAATAACATTTGCATGTATATATCAAATTATAAAAACCAAACAATACAGTTAGAGTCAGCGAAACAGTGGAATAGATTACACAAATAAACATAGTGAATAAAGAAGTATAAATTAATAGTGTGATGGCAGGTGTACTAAATGTGATAAGAATAATAAAAGCTTGAATCAATGTTTCTTAATCGAAAGTAGATCAACGGCTTAAAGAAGTAGACACTTAAGTAACATTCACTAAAAGATATTAAAATTACACAATAGTTAGACAGTGATGTGTGTATTTGAAAGAAAGGGTATAGAAAATAATGATGAAATAGTTTGTTAAGGCTAATTCTGTCAAAAAAAGAGATAAGCGTGTTACAAATTAGTTATGAACACAAAGACGGGTTGTTAACTTGAATCCCTATCGTTTCTGCTGTATAAGATACAAGGTTGAACCCCATAAGAAAAGCTGGTAGGTATATGGTAAATTACTTAGAATGATTTGCTTCTATCTACCACATGATCGCTATCGATCAAGTGTGACAGAACACAGCTGTGTATTGTTTTTCTCATATCGTTTCCTAAGCCCCAAATGCCCTGGTATGGCCGAGAGCGGGGGGGGTTCGCCCTCCCTCTCGAAATACTCTCACACGGCCACGCGTATACAGCCACTGCCAGGGAAGTCCTACTCACTGCCTTCTCGTGGCGGGGGTGTTGTTTACGAAAAATGAGAGGACAAAAAGCGAACGTCCGGCGCTATAACCGGATCCCAATTCTATGGTGCACATGGGCTCCAGTATCCTGAAGGAACGAATGGCGTATGAAATAACCGTTGGTCACCGGCTTCCATGGGACTGCATCTCCTCACGATGCTCCACTGCCTTGTGGACTAGACCTTTAGGTCAAAGGCTCGGGGTTTGGCCCCTAAGAAAATCATCTCCTTCGGTTTGGGCACCCGGGCAGTATCTCAGTCCACACACTAAAACTATGATGAACTATCTGCTTAAAGAAAATATTCGTTTCTCTCTGACTAACATTGAAATGACTGGTATTATTATTATTATTATTATTATTATTATTATTATTATTATTATTATTATTTACTACGTCATTTATTCACTATCTCCTATCCGTTTCGACTCAGACAGCAGCTCGCCTATGGTGAAAATTCAGCTTTATCTAAACGTTCTCGAGTCACTGCCTGGTTGAAAATTGTATGTTACTACCGAATATGAGTACTGAAGCAGTTTTTCTGAAACCACGTGCACCATTCAAACTGGCTGCCTTCAACGTTCGCACACTTATGCAGGTCGGACAACAGATAGGGCTGGCTATGTCTTTGGAAAGTTTTAATATTGATGTGTGTTGTCTATCCGAGACCCGTATTCAAGACTCTGGTGAAGTACTACAAGTTCGCTCTCCATCTGTCACTTCAAAAAGCTTGTTTTACGTGCGTTTATCCGGGGACCCTGTGGCATCTTCGTCTGGTCTTGCTGGCGTTGGTGTCGCACTAAGCGCAAGAGCTGAGGCAGCACTAGTCGACTGGATCCCCATTAACAGTCGGTTATGTGCTGTTAGATTAGAAAGTTCCATCAAAGTGAGAAGAAATCGGCGTGAGAAACGATGTCTTTTCGTCATCTCCGCCTATGCCCCGACAGATTGCAGCCCGGATGCAATCAAGGACGAGTTCTACCATCAGCTAACTGTTCTTCTCCAGAAAGTGCGTTCGACAGATATTGTAGTACTAGCTGGAGACTTGAATGCTCAGGTCAGGCGTCTAGGCACAGAAGAGAGTCGTTTAGGTGGCCGATGGGGACTCGTTGGTCGCAAGACAGATAACGGGGACCGTCTACTGCAACTATGCACAGACTACAACCTGTTTCTGGCTAGCACTAACTTTCGGCACAGTCATCGCCGATGTGCCACCTGGCGTCCCCCTTCTGCATCTCAAGCCTGGACTCAGATTGATCACATCGCGATCAGCTACCGCTGGTGCGGTTGTGTACAAGACTGCCGCTCCTTTTGGAGTACCTATCTGGAATCTGATCATGCTCTGGTCTGCGCCAATCTTACCTTACTTTTCAGTGGACAACGAAGTGACCGCCACCACAGGATTGATGTTAGCAAGCTGGCTGCAACTTCTGTTGCCAGTAAGTACCGAACCGAGCTAGCTTCTAGGCTAGCTACCATTCCACCGAAAAGTATAGATGAGCATTGGTTGCAATTGCATGACACCATGAAAATGGCGGGTACAGTCTGTTGTGGGTTTGCGAAACGTCCCGCTTACAAGCACTGGGTTTCTTCTGGTTCCTTACAACTCATTGAAGTCCGTCAGTCTACTCCGGGTGACCGTGAGTTTGACCACAGACGAAGGATGTTACGTAATGAAATCGGGCAAAGCTTGCGTAAGGACCGAGAAGCCTGGTGGTCGGAGCGTGCTAACGAGCTGGAAGCAGCAGCTGCATCTGGTAATTACCGGAAGCTCTTCCAACTCATCCGAGCCACTGGCAACAAGAAGTCTGGTGTGAGCGAAACAATCTGCGAGGATGACGGAACGCCAATCACTAACATCCATCGACGTCTTGGACGATGGGCAGAATTCTTTGAAGGGCAGTTCAACTGGCCTGCTGCTCCGGCAACATCGGTCAGACTGTCCTGCCCTCCATGGCCGGTGACGACTGATCCACCAAATGAGGCGGAAGTCCGCAAGGAACTCCAACTCTTGAAACGTTACAAATCACCGGGCCCAGACGACTTACCTCCGGCTCTTTTTAAAGATGGTGGTGACATTTTGACTAAGGGACTGACGACGTTGTTTACAAAGATCTGGGAACTAGAGAGTGTACCAACGTCATGGAATGAGTCGATAGTTGTCCCTATCTTTAAAAAGGGTTCTCGTTGTTCCTGTAACAACTATCGGGGGATAAGTCTACTTCCGATTGCGTCCAAGCTATTGGCTTCCGTCATACTTCGTAGGTTGTTCAGAACCCGAGAAAGATTGACTCGCGAGGAGCAGGCTGGGTTTCGTCCTGATCGAGGCTGTATTGATCATATCTTCACCCTCCGCCAAGTGTTAGAACACCGCCATACTTATCAAAGGCCAACAATCGTAGTGTTTCTTGATATCAGGGCTGCCTTCGATTCGTTGGACAGAACAGTTCTCTGGGATTGTCTATTGAAGAAGGGTGTGCCTGAGAAGTTTACTAACATCCTAAAAGCCCTATACACAAACACCTCAGGCAGAGTGAGGGCATACAATCACCTTTCTCCACTATTCCATTCGAGCAGTGGGGTTAGGCAGGGTTGCCCAATCTCACCATTCCTCTTCAACTTTGCCATCGATGACATTCTGGAAACAGCTCTGACGGATGTAAGTAATGGTGGTGTGGATCTGTTGCCTGGAGAAAGACTTCTCGACCTTGAGTATGCGGATGATATTGTCTTACTGTGCGAGAATGCCCAAGCCATGCAATCCGCATTTAATCAGTTGGCAATCAGTGTCCGTAGGTATGGTATGTGCTTTGCACCTTCGAAGTGCAAAGTTCTTCTACAAGACTGGCAGGATTCTAATCCTGTACTCACTCTGGATGGTGAGCAGATTGAAGTAGTCGAGAAGTTCGTGTATCTAGGTAGCTGCATAAGTGCTGGTGGTGGTGTGAGTGATGAGATCAATGCACGTATAGTGAAATCCAGAGAGGCTTATGCCAATCTGGGCCATCTTTGGCGCCTTCGTGATGTTAGTCTGGCTGTAAAAGGTCGGATCTACAACGCGACGGTGAGAGCAGTTTTGCTCTATGCTTGTGAAATCTGGCCTCTCCGAGTTGAGGATGTTAGACGACTCTCTGTGTTCGATCATCGCTGTCTCCGAAGGATTGCTGACATCCAGTGGCAACACTATGTCAGTAATGCAGAGGTTCGGTATCGTGTGTTCGGCGCAGAGACGATAATCCAATCAATGTCACCATCTTGAAACATCGACTTCGGTGACGTGGACATGTTCTACGAATGTCGTCCCAGAGAATTCCACGTCGTGCATTATTTGCCGACTGTGGGACTGGTTGGAAAAAGCGGAGAGGTGGTCAGTGTATGACATGGTGTCGTGATATGAAAGAAAGCTGCAAAGGGCTAGCTTCTGTTGGTCCTTCACGACTCCCTGGTTGGGGTCCGAGAGACGGTGTAACGCAGTGGCTAGAGACGTTATCAGATATGGCTCAGAATAGAAGCCAGTGGCGATCCTGCTGTAACCTTCTTTTACTTTCTTCATAAAAAGTGGTTGTATCTTCCTTACTGAAAGATCTCTTCTGATTGTACCTTTCCGCTTCCCTCACCATTGTTCTCTCTCTCTCTCCCTTTTTTATAATTTTCCACGTTCATTACTTTTTTTCTCTTTTCTCCTTCCCTTCAAATTATCATAGTTTTGTGTGGCGCATATATATTTGGTGCTCTTTTGTACCAATATTTATGTGTTCAAATGAATAAATAAATAAATAATAAAACCACGAAACTAGCTGTTCATTAACTCGTTGACTTGGTTGTCGTGTTATACCCCAGCATGGCTTTCTTCACTCGAGCAGCTGGATTCGTCGATACACATGGATGTAGCAAAACTAAGTTACTTATTCTTTATTCGACAAATTACTATTGGTCGGTTAGAATCCTGGATTTTCTACACAGATTAGTCGTACACAGAAGCGTTGCAGATGCTTTCGATATTGTTTCCAAGGTAGAACATAGAAATTTAAATGGTAAATGGATGGTATCTCTAAATATTTCTCCCCCCTTCACTTCTGAAATTTACAGTAAACGTCCATTTTGTCCTTAATAATACAGAAAAATAGATGAAATAGCTATGGTTTCGCCTTTTCCAATATTTTGATCAACGATAATAAAATTCAAGCTTATCAATAACCTATCTGAGAGGTCTGTTTTCTATCCCACTGTTATCACTGACTCTAACTGTATTGTTTGGTTTTAATAATTTGATATATACATGCAAATGTTATTGTATATTGAAGCCTGATGGTTTAACTGGAAACAAAATTGTTCGCTTAAATATGTTGCTCTAAATTTGCTTAGTGTCATTAAATTCACACTGCACCATATCCATCTTTTTGAAAAAAGGCTTAATATTTTTCTTTTTATCCTACGATATGTTTTGAGGAATCATCTGCCTTTATACCTTCGCTTAGTTTTTCGATGTAAGTAAAACAAACACAGGAATATTAAATAAGAACTTCGTCTAAATTTGATCGAATAGTTTCACAGTATTTGGGCACCGAGTTGATATGAGACATTAAAGAGGAAGAGTGTATTAGTAAAATCTCAGCGAATGAATTTGAAGTAAAGATATTTCCTTGAAAAGGCTTGAACCAGATTGCCAGGTGAAACGTTGGATTTACTTCAAATTCATTCGCTGAGATTTTACAGGAGGAATATTAAGTTGATCAGTTCTTAAAATGTCAACCAATTTTTGTTTTAAGTTTTTCAAAGTAAACAAATCAATATAAAATTCTGTATATGTTATTCACTCAGTATTCTCAGACGGTGAAATCGTCCAAACAAAGAACCCTGCAGTTAAACAATAAAATAATTTCTCGTATAATAATAATAATAATCCTATGTTATGTATCTTTTACAAAATTTTTCTACTCTATGGACATCTTTTGTCTCAGTATTGTGGTGGTGTCGATTGGCGTACTAAACTTGATACTCAACGGGGGGCTGTTTTGGCCGCTGAGATAAAGAATAATGCCTTTAAATTAGCTGGATGGACTGTCTGTAGTATATTGTCAGGTGCAGATCAATTGAAATTAGGGTACGTTACTGTTTATTATGATGAATTGTTGCACTATATGGGGCATTCTAATTATTATAAATAAGTATCCTCTATTCCTCTACCACTGATTCGCAGATTTGAATTCTATGTTGTCTCGTTCAGATTGTCAAACAGGTAATATTACGAACTGACTCAATGATTCGAACATGGTATCTCGGTTTCATTCTAGTATGCAAGATCCTAAGCAACCCTATAGTATAGAGTAGTCTTTCAGTTACGGTTATTATATTGAGCATGTGATAGTGTTTTCTTGGCTATCACACCAATGTTTATATGAATGGCTAAATCTTTTACACCAAAACGGATTCAGTTGCTAAGCGCACGAGCATCCACTTGTCTCTATAATTATGGTCGCTTACTATTATTATATTTCTGTAATGATTTCTAAAAATGCTGATACTGCTACTAGTGTGGATGTTTGTTACAAATGCAGAAGAGTTTCCGTTTACCACTTATTGCGTCGGAAAAGAACTAATGCTGAGGAAAAAGCAAGACTTCACACGATAATTTAGTTATTCATCCCTACTGATTAAAACTAACCCAAAAACAACAATGGGATCTATGTCATTTTTAATATATCGATCCTGGCTGTTACCTTTACGTAGTAGTCGAACTTACTTGTCGTTATGACTCAAATCAGCTATACAGCATGAAACACTTGTTCCTCTAGGCTCTATCATGTCAGGCAGGTCGGTTAAAAAGCAAAGTCTGACCGCTGATCGTAGAGGGTTGTGACAGCATTATGGTGTTTCCCCCAAACGTATAACATCTTCAGCGATTTGGCCTTCTTACAACATAGGAAAGTTCAACCCTAAAATTTTCACACCTTACCTCACGAATTTCATTAAGGCCTTCTGAACTGCGGAGCCAACTCATCAACCCATAAAAGGACTGCGCGCATCCGGCCTCAAGCAGTTGTCCCGTGGGCTCTGCAGTCACGCTCCCAGACTACCGAGGCCACCACTAATTCACCGTCCTTTCTAGTTCTCCCAAAAAGAAATATCCCTTCACAATGTGGGCAGCCGAGAGGTGACAACCGCCCTCACACCTCCATCAGCAACTGAGATCTTGTTCACAATCGAATCTCCCCATCACCTTTGAATAATCCTTCTATCCTGACGACAACTCTTCTCATTTATCTTCGTCAACATGCCCCACCAATACTAATGATTCGAGTTCGAGAAACCACTCTCTGAACTACACGTTGGAGCTTTTAATGTTCGAAACTTGTGTCAGATTAGACAACAGACTTATTGAGCTAGGACTATAGAATTCCGCGTCATCGATGTATGCTGCGTCTCTGGGACGCGTAGACAGGGTTCAAGTACGGTCATTCATTGGACCTCACCTTGTCAATATAAAGGAACGGCACGACTTATTGTTCGGGTATCTGGACACCACTGCTATTTCCTGTGGACCCTCTGGTTTAGGTGTAGCATTGAGTTCTAAAACAGAACAGGCTCTCCTAGACCAGATTCCATTTAGCAATCGCTCCTGCGCTGTCCGACTAAACGGAGACACACCATTGCCTTTCCATTGTCGCTGCCTTCGCTCTCATTCATTGCTGCCCGGGTGAAGTTAACGGTGAGATTTATGAGCTTTTCAACGCTCTGATTTAGTACTAATGGCAGGCGGTTTTAATGAGTAGAACACTCCCACTAAGAATAAAGGCTATTCCCAGGTTACTAGTATTTTTGAACCACGGAGTAGGTGGTGTTTGGGTCAGGAATAGGGTACTAGTTAAATATGCAAATCGACTGTTGAGGTAAAAAATTTTGATTAACTAAGATGGTTGGGACATGTGTTATGTATGCCCAACCACCGTCCACCTCGACGCACAATGTTGTATGATGTATGAGCAGGCTGAAAGAGAGTTAAACTCAGCTGAACCAAAACATGGTATTAGTTCATAAAGTCACTGAAAATTGGACTGAGTCATTTTGGTGTGAATGTACTATCTGATTGGGATCCGTGTGACCATCATAACCAATGGTTAAGCTTCTTTGTCTTCCCCCGAATTCTGAGCTTTTGAATAACTCATGAGTTTTTTTTGTATTTTGATTTCACTTACTTTTATTTTCTTTAATCGTAAATTCGATCCCTAGTCTTTTAAATCACTACTAATAATGTTACTACTTGAACTATTTTGGGATTTGACCTGACAACTTCATCTCTCTGAGCTAATGAGGAATGTCAAATTGAACCGATTTACATAGCCTCCAGTTTCTACTTTGTGATATACTGACATTTTACATATTCGGTTAACAGATCAATTTGAGTGCATGAAAATAGAGGTACCTTCTATTAATTGATCTGTAATTAAGTGTGTATGTACATAATTTACAACATCAATAAACTAACTGCTTTCTCTAAGAGGTACGGTCAATTTTTGTGCTGTATTCAAGGTTTATATTAATTGTGGTGTTAAATATATATATATATATATATATATATATATATATATATATATATATATATATATATATATATATATATATATATATATATATATATAAATACAGCACAAAAATTGACCGTATGGACTCAAGTTATTTAGTTGATACAAAAACATAAAAGTTATGAAGGATGGTTCAGTGGTGATAGCATATGAGTTCAAACATAAGGTTCTAAGTTCGAACTCCGCTTAGCAAACTAGTTTGGCCATTCAAATCCTTTTTGATAACATTGTAACTATGGTTAGTTTCTTATAATAATTATTATTTCTGAAAAGGTGTCTTTAAACATCAAGAATTTACCCGTGTTCTAGATGTCCCATTTTTGTTCTGTTTGTCAGTCGATTGACTTCGAATATTCTTTTTGTCATGTTGACAGCGTTCTGCATTCGGTATCTACTGTAATCCGAACATTCCATATAAGTCGATACGTAATAATGTTATTCCGCATCCACATTTTGAAAGTTATTACATGTTTCTCCTTAGTATCTTGTGAATGGATATTTGTTACACATTTTCCTACCAATCACATTATGAAAAAGACCAGTTATATTCTTTATTGTTTGAATTTTAAAGAATTACAGATCTATTTTTATCGTGTACTTTAATCGTATATTCTCTCAATAATCATTGTCTTATTTTCTGTAGATTTGTATCTCGTGTCAACCCCCGTGACTCATCTCGTCATGTCATATTGGGCACACAACAGTTCAAACCATCGGAGTTCGCCAATCAGCTGAATTTAAATATGGATAATGCTTGGGGTATTCTGCGATGTGTCGTTGATTTCTTCATGAAAATGCCTGAAGGCAAATATCTAATGTTAAAGGATCCTAATAAGGTTTGTCGATGTATATGTAAATTGTATCTTTAGTTTTATCATCTCATTACATTTTCACTTTTTTTAAACACAGATTATTCGATAGCCCCAAAATACTATTGGAAAAAGAAACAATTAGTAGTGTTTTTGATTAAGAAAGGAATGACGTTCTTTAAGGATGATCAAAAATTGATGACAAATAGCTCGATGTCCTTTGTGTTTGTTTATGTCTGCGAATGTTTAATACTCCGTCACCTAACCCAGTGACGAAAAGTGTGCAATGAGTTTCACCGAAGCACATCTTACAGCAAATATAAGTGTCGCGCAAGACAATTTTTATTGATCTAGGAATTATTCTCAGCATCCCTGGAAATCAAGCTGATAAGCATGATAGAGTAATTACAAGTAATATAGTTTGACATGATATTTATATTTTCACAGTTATTAGTAGAATTCGTACAAGCAACTGTATGCGCTTACCTACCAGCTTATTTTATCTTGTCTACTTGACTGTAAACTGTTGATATTCAAGTTAAAGCCGATCTCATCCTAGGCAAAATAGTAATGTTGTTTATCATAACCAGCATGTCACTGACCGAATACAAAAGAGCCCATCATATAGCAAAAAAAGTGTAAGAAGATTTTGGAAGACAAAAATTCAATGCCCCACCGCAACTATGAACAATTATGAACTGTGTTACATAATCTCTATCCATTGTTCAGGATAATCATGTGAACCCCAACCAGGTCGTCTGCATCTACATTCATGGGTCAGTCCATTTTTCAATGACTCCATGAACTTGTAACAGGTTTGTTTCTAGTGGCTCCTAACTTCAAACCTATTTTGTACACTAGCCATGAGTACGCATCGAGGTAGGTGGTGGACAGGCATTTAAAATTTACGTTCTTACCGTATGTAGATTCACTACTTCAATTTACCGCGTTTGACAGACTGTTTTAAGGTCAAGTTATTTGCCTATGGTGGGGAGTCACTAGGTATGTTTGTGTCCCATAACCTGGCAGAAGACGGAATTTCGGTCTGCACATCCACATACATTTTCGAAACCAGCCTTGTTTTTACGTCAGAAGCCATAGTTTAGCGTTGAATGATTAACGAGGCTATTGTTTTAGGCACTACGTTAGTCAAACTGATTCTTCTATGATTTTTATCGTAGAATGGAACGTTCAGTGATCGAGACCAGTTAGATACGATTGTGCCTAGTTCCTAGACTCTGGCTAGGATCTCATACGATATAACAGCCAAGACTGGACCACCATGGTTAAGGATCTTTGAAGTTAAGTTATTAAGGCTTTTCACTCTTACTTTAGACTAGCTATGGGCTCTATTTCCTTAGTTTTCAATGGGTTTATGTCCATATCCCATTCAGGTTGCTTAGTGCAAGTAAACAAGTGAAGGGTATCTTGAGAGTTGTTGAACTTTTCAGAGTTGTCTCGATTGTTTCGGGTTGGATCACTGTATCATCTTTTCCGGAACTAGTCTCATCAACTTCCAAATACTTAATATTTATTACATTGATAAGTCAGCCAGTCGCCACTGTTGTTCCATCTGCCACAAGGTTCAAATATTGAAATTTCTTACATGTATTTCAAAGGACACTTTCAGGGGAATAGAGATAGCATTTCGTAATGTCAAATCGTCTGCATTTGTACCTCATGGTGATAAAGATGTGTAAGGAGGGTTAGTTTTGGAGACAACTGAACTGGTAAAAAATAAAAGTGGATCGTTTTCTTGAACAAGAAGTTCTTAAATGCTGTTATAGGTAAATGTGCGGTAGTTACTCAGTGACAGCTCACACCAAGAATATTTTTCCTGGTAGGGATGTAAAAGAAATAGGGCCAGTGATTATCTTATTGACCTGGTAGCGTGACTATAGATCCAAACAAACAACTGCTTAAAATCAGTCGGACACGGCCTTCTATGAGATGTTTTCCATATGTGGACTCTGATTACGTTAGTGCTGTTCATTTGTTCGGTCAAATAAAATCTCTTCGAGTCATTGAGAGTGAACTTGATTCACTATAGAAAGATGTTTGAAGTGTGATATCAGTGCCTGTTGATGACATAACAGGTGCATTTACCACGGTGAATATTTACAATATATGCTTCTTGTATTATGTGTTTATTAATTATTAGAGATATTGGCTGAGAGAAAATTTCTTATTTATATCTCACTGTTTTTAGCCTGTACTTCGCATATACTCTGTACCTCAAGATGCTTCTGATACAGATGAATGTGAAGATGGTATAAGTGAAGAAGAAGCAGTTATTGTTGAACAACAAAACCCTGAAACAAGTAAGACGGAAGTAAATAACATGTCAGGACATAGTCAAGACGGAATAGAGGGTCAGTATAAAAAAACTGAAGCTGTCACTCAGTTAAGGACGATTGAGCCTACTGAATCGTAACTTATATGATTGATAAGTATCTTCGAAAAATTATTTATTAATAATTGCACGTAAAATTTTATTCCATTACCGAACATGTTATTTTCAACTTGGTGTTTTATCATTATATATATATATATATATATATATATATATATATCCTACGAGGTAGCTTTTGTTTTGCTGTTTGTCCGATTGCGAACATATATAATCAACCGCATGAATAACATTTAAATTGATGGATGTTTTAGCACCTGCTTAGAAAATGACTGGTTACTATGGATTTTTCTTTGCAAACATGCGTAATAATTTTAAATATGACAGTTCTCATAGTTGACAAAGTCGCTGAAACGAACCAATGAGTGAGTTGTCTAGGAATGACGCCTTGAACTAATTGATGCAGTTAGGGTTCTTCATTTGCTTCTCTTCAAGTAACTACGGAATCAGTTCAACAAGCCTTGCGCGTAAAGTTCTGTTACCTAGTTGCTAAAATCCACCAACTGCTCAGAATGATTTCTTTTTATTTTAATATACAACTTTCTATTCAAACCGAGCTGGCCATGTTCTCTCAATTTGTGCCCACTTGAACCAAGAAGTCACGAACCAAAATACGATTTAAGATTAAATAGACACTAAAACGATCTAGTTGATTTTAACTGTTTTCTCAGATAACAATAGTTAACATGTGTATTGCTAGTTTACAAGCAAGATCATATCTTTTTAAGATTTACTGCATTAAGCTTTATAGATGCTGTGTTGTAACTTAAAACTAGTGGTCAATGAATGAACTATCGACCAGTTTAAACCAAAACTAAGTAGTTTGCTGAATGACGGTTCAAAATAAATACTGTCACACAGTCATTACACCAACAATTTTTCAATCGGTAGTCAAATCAGAAGAAAATGTTATTCCATCTTTTTGAATAGATCACGTGCGTGTTGTTCGGAAGATAACATTTAACTTTTCTATATGGTTGAGTGCTTCTAGCTCTATATGTCTCATTTCGCGGTCAAAATGCAAATCAATATGGCAACATGAGACAACTAGATAATCTGCTGGGAATAAAAAATACCAGTTCGTGAAATGTTCCTCAACTTAGTAAAAACGTTTGACATAGCAACGCATTCACCCCTCATAGCAAATGTTTTGATGATGGGCTTTGAACCATTGACATGTTCGCATTAAAATTACTCGAAGAGCCAGATATTGTGCGCAAAATACACAGACAGTTCGTCATCTGGAGTACTGTTATCAAAAATATCACAAACGACCACTTTCGGTTCATTAAATCTCTTGGTTTCAGGTGGTGACCTGTTAGACTAAATCAGTTCACTGACTCTCATTAAAACACTGATAATGACAAGATATAGAGATCCATAAAAAGACAGAAAAATGAATACATGAAGGTTGGTAGTGTTGTGACTTTAAATGCGGCTAATTATCACGTAAATTATTCGACAATCGAATTAAAACTTAGTCACTCATATACTGTATTAAGCCAATGGCCTTTAACCAGCCTAGTGTCCTATTGATCATTTGCTCGCTTAGCCCAACCAATCGAGTTCAGAACACTAATAACAGCTTCCACTATGTGAATCCATTATTTCAGACATACTTGGTTTATATACCAACCAAACACATCGCATCATAAAAAGGGAAATAAGATTCATACACTATAAAGCCAAATTGAGGCTGTGGACGTGCGAGACAGCTTATAATAAGAGGGATATAGATATACATAATCTGATTACTGAATAGTTATACCAAAAGAATATATAGGAAATATTAGAACACAAATGGGTTTCAGAAGCTTCCCGAGATTACATCACTAGGATACAATGGGTAGGTATCGATATTCCGAGATTAACAATTGCACGTCCTACTACATAAACTTAACTCAAAGGTTTTCATATATAGAGACGATCTGAAAACGACGTCCCACGAACTAAGTACGCTAAACCAATCCGAAACGAGCACATTACCAGAACACTATCATCACACTCCTAGAGGCAACTCTCGGAAAATTGCACATCAAAGAACGAACACAGGTACGTTCTCACTTTTTCCCATTAGGAGTTGTTCCTATTCGGAATGCCCTGGCATAGGAAAGGCTGCAAAGATGGGTTTCACTGATCCACTTTATCTTGACTGCGAAACTACATAGAGAACAGAATTTTTTGTAATAAGGTAAATAGAATGTACGCAAGTTGGAGGATCTTAAAATAGGGAGTTTCACAACGAACAATCGTAGGTCCACTTCTGTTCCTGATCTTTGCTAATGACGTGCTAGATAAATTTAGCTCGGCGGGACAACTCTTTGCGGACGATGGAATGATTCGGAGGTCCAAAACGATTCGCCTGAGCTCCAACAGGACTTTATAGCAATGGATGGTAGGCTATGGGTTAAAATGTAATCTTTCGAAATATCATGTCATGGACATCCTGCTTCATTTGACACAAAACACTTACACTCTCCGTGGAAATCGACTCCAGACTATATCCTCAGAGCACGATCTAGGGCTTGCAACCATACAGAGCTCAGACCCCAGTCCAAACTATATGGAGGAAGAAGCCAAGACAAGCACATTTCTCCGCTTCATGCAAAGAAAACTTGACGCAAACACCATAGAATTGTTCCTAACACTGCTTAAGGCGCATTCATGGTCCAACATGAAGTCCACAATGTTGTCCCTACCCTCTTTCTAAAAGTTGTAAATCCCTCAAACCAAGTAAAGGGATAGGCAAATAAGTGAGAGATAAGACTAAAACTCAATTTTCACGAGGACAGACACTAATAACTGAGATTACTCTCATGGAGCCACCGGAGAATGAGGTAATCTGATAATACATGCAACATATTAAGTACACTAAGCCAGAACACCATCATTACGCTCCTAGAAGCAACTCTCGGAAAATTGCACATCAAAGAACGTACACCCAAGTACGTTCTCACTTTTTCCCATTAGGAGTTGTTCCTATTCGGAATGCCCTGGCAGCCGACGTGACCACAGCCACATCAGTGGATAGCGTCAAGAAACTTGACAAACCCGTACTCCCCCATGGATTACCATCTGATTCCTAGATTATCCGTGTCTGATATATGTCCGATAGTTTACTACTGTTATCATTACCGCGTATCAGTAACTACTTCCTGTCTCTCTTGTTAACATCTCCATTTCCTCTCCTATTCTTTCAATTCCGTCTTCTTACGCATTACAAATTTAGTAAATGGATTATTTATTCCCGAAACAATCGTCTTCTCTTAGCACCCGAGCTATCACTTTATTATTTCACATTGCAACCAACCAACCTCCTATCTGGTAATACGATAGATAGTTGCTGGCATCCAGAAACCTACTGTCCTGAGACAAACGCACTCACTGAACTTTGAGTTATACTAATCCACAATTAGCTACCACACTGGTTTGAATTAATGTAGTCCAGTGGTTAGACTACCACTTATAGGACATTAGCTGCAGATGCTAATAAATTAGGTAGTAGTAAATCGCGGCTTGTGTGTTAACTCATGTTACGTCTGGTACCTGGTCAGATGTATGCAACCTTGTACCAAGTAGACTAAAATAAACCGTCCTGCGTGTTTTGTTGTCTGGCCTCGCCATGTTTACTAGCAATATTTTCCACAACCTCTGGTCTTTTCTGATACAATAACCGTCATTGTGCGAGAAGCCAGTTAATCTTACAGCGCAAGCATTTTCCCCTTTAGAAACAACTTATCCTCTCCGGAACGCTATCGATAATCGATGATTTAAATATAGGTCACATGCCAGGTTAAGAAAGAGGAAAAATAAGACCCGAATAACTATTTGATCTTTGCTTACATTAGTTGCTAGCCTATGTGTATTTATGTCGATTTAGTTCATATTCGCTAGTACTTGATGTTTTTAAAGTTTATTTGACTGAAACATGTAAGTGCTACTTAGTCTTGTTCATAAACCATCGTAGCTGAATGTAAACATAATTAACTAGTTATTTGTATTGATAGAGTAATTGTGCTGAATACTTAAAAATATTACACTACCATTGTTCACGTTAGCATAACTCAGCAGACGAATAGAATAGGGGTTAATATACTTACTTACGCCTATTATTCCTAATGGAGCATAGGCCGCCTACCAGCATTCTCCAACCCACTCTGTCCTGGGTCTTCTTTTCTAGTTCCATCCAATTCTTGTCCATTTTTCTCATGTCTGTCTCCATTTCACGGCGTAATGTGTTCTTTGGTCTTACTCTCCTCCTTCGGCCTTGAGGATTCGACGTGCGGGCTTGTCTTGTGACGCAGTTCGGTGCTTCCCTCAATGCGTGTCCTATCCATTTCCAGCGCTTCTTTCTGATTTCTTCCTCCACTGGGATCTGGTTTGTTCTCTCCCACAGTAGGTTGTTGCTTATAGTGTCCGGCCAACGGATCTGAAGTATTTTGCGTAGACAACTGTTAATAAACACCTGTATCTTTTGGACGATGGGTTTTGTTGTTCTCCAGGTTTCCGTCCCATACAGTAGAACTGTCTTGACATTTGTATTGAAAATCCTGACCTTGGTGTTGGTTGCCAATTGTTTTGAGTTCCAGATGTTCTTCAGTTGTAAATAGGTTGCTCTTGTTTTGCCGATCCGTGCCTTCACATCTGCATCAGATCCACCGTGTTCTTCGATGATGATGCCCAAATATGTAAAGGTTTTAACATCTTCCAAATCGTCTCCGCAAATTGTGATTGTATTAGTGCATGCTGTGTTGTATCGGAGAATCTCGCTTTTCCCTTTGTGTATATTGAGACCTACTGCTGCTACACTGGTTGTCTTCTGCTGCATTTGTTGTTGCGTGTGTGATAGAAGGGCCAGATTATCTGCGAAGTCTAGATCGTGCAGCTGCGTTCTAGCTGTTCACTGTATCCTGTAGTGTCTGTCATTATGTTAAGCCCAAATACCTTATTATTCTAACTTTCGGACAGCTCATTCTATTCATTCTATTTGAGTCACATTCTGACCTTGTTAATTATTCGCTTATCAATGTCTTGACTGTCTTTGTATGAGCGCGTAGGCATATGTACACTTCTTATCCGTTACTCATCACATGTCTGTAATTTATTTTTGTGGGCTTATAAATATTGATGAACTCTTTGTTAGACGGGGAGTTGGCTTACCAGCCATCTGCACCGCGCGCCAATTTAGCTTCGCTTTCCCATTTTCGTTGCCCGATGATCGTAATGATTGGTTGCTATCCTCGTATATAATCATTGACTTAAATCGCGTTAGTTAATAACGGAATTAAATAAGTCAAATAACGAGAATGGAGTTTTGAATGCATATATTTCGTATAATTGTTGATTAGACAAACGAACGGAGGAACGATGCGAAGATCAGAAAGCGAAGCAAAATTGACGAGCGGTGCAGATGGCTGGTAAGCCAACTCCCCGTCTAACAAAGAGTTCATCAATATTTATAAGCCCACAAAAATAAATTACAGACATGTGATGAGTAACGGATAAGAAGTGTACATACGCCTACGCGCTCATACAAAGACAGTCAAGACATTGATAAGCGAATAATTAACAAGGTCAGAATGTGACTCAAATAGAATGAGTAGAATGAGCTGTCCGAAAGTTAGAATAATAAGGTATTTGGGCTTAACATAATGACAGACACTACAACATACACTACAATCCCATGCTTCTCCTCAGATGTTGACGTCTTCATGATCCAGCCGATCACTAGGAGAAAGAGAAAGGGTGAGAGTAAGCAACCTTGCCTGACACCGGTCTTTACTTCGAACAAATTTGTCAAGTGTCCTCCATGAACGATTTTGCAGTTTAATCCATCATAGGAATTCTGTATGATATTGACTGTCTTCTGAGGCACGCCGTAGTGTCGACGAAGCTTCCATAGGGTTGTTCTGTCCACGCTACCAAATGCTTTTTCGTAGTCAATGAAGTTGATGTAGAGTGATGAATTCCATTCAACTGATTGTTCCACTATGATCCGTAGAGTTGCAACTTGGTCTGTACATGATCTATCCTTACGGAATCCTACCTGTTTGTCTCGAATTTGGGCGTTTAGGGAGTCCTTCATCCTGTTCAACAATACCATGTTGAAGAATTTTCCTGGTATTGAGAGAAGAGTGATGCCCCTGTAGTTATCACAGTTGCTGGGGTCTTCTTTCTTTGGTATTTTGACCAGAAGTCCTTTCTAGTCTGTTGGTACTTGTTTCTCATCCTAAATCTTGCTGAAGAGAATGTGAAGTATCTTTGCAGTTACCGCTACATCTGCTTTCAGTGCCTCTTCTGGAATGTTGTCTGGTTCTGCTGCATGCCACACTTGATTTGTCTGATAGCCATGCCGATTTCTTCAATTGTTGGTAGGCCAACAGCAAATTGCTAATATTATTATGAACGTTGTAATTGGATTTTTATCAGATTTCATCTTAATACTTAAAGTTCTTGAACCGGTTTATTCAACGCCTGCAGTTTTCATGGAAATATCAAACAACTAAGTGAAATTCTAGGAGGGTCAGAATATGAAGAGCATTGTTTACTGTTGATCATAAACATTCACTTACGACGCCGTCAAAAATTATTCGTTATTGCCAGAATATATAACAATTAACTTCAATGTAGAATGCATCAAAATGCATAATCACTGTTTGTTATTGGTGTTATCAGGAAAATCAGTACCAACAACTTCTGCATGCTTAGTAAATAATTCTACCTGCTCACTAGTACTAAAGCAGATTCTGGTGACATACTTTCTCTCAGGCCTCTGAATGTCTTTATGGCGTCCCATAATGTTCTGTACTAAGACCCCTCCGTTTCTTGATTTATATATACGATCTTCCATAACAGGTATTGTCTGAGTTGTTACGTTTTGCTGATGATGTGAAGGATGGGAAGAGAGAGATACGTAACCAAGTGGATATACTGGCACTTCAAGAAGGTCTGACTCGGACATACCTTTTACACTTCAAAGTGTAAAGTAGTCCGTCTGAGACATGTTACAGACTACAGTTACAACTCAGGAAGCTCTTCTTTAGAAGTATCCTAGGTTGAAAAAATTTAGGTGTTGATACCCTGCGATTTAAAGTCTTACGCTAACTGCGACAAGAATGCCTTCCGAACCAGATTTGCACTGGTAACGTTGAAGTGCATCTTTGGCCAGTTCGGTGGAAAACTTTTCACATAATCTTCAATGTATTTATTCGTCTCCATTTACAGTACAGAAACATAGTATTCCCTCCGTCACTTTGAAACGATAAAGACCCTCAGGAACATATCCTGCGGTGAGCCACGAAATCAGTTCAGGGACTCGAATTTAAGTCTTAAGGAGAGTGCTCCCAACTGCTGAACCTTCACAGATTGCAGTGCAGGAGTCATAGAGTTGACCTTTCAATGACAGACAGCATCATAAGCACTTCTCGGCATCCCCTCAGACACCTACTTTAGTTTAGCTAGAACAAAAACCTAGGGGAAAACACCTGGAAAGTGGAGAAAAAACACAGTAGAATGGACTGTAGACAATTTCTACTACTTTATAGTTATCAAAATCTGGAAGTTGCTTCCAGTTGTGCTTGTCCGAGCGACTACCCAGGACTATCTTAAAAGGAATCTTGACATGTCCCTAAGGACTAAGGATAATATCTTATTATGATTTGCCAGTTTCTTTTTCCTCTCTTATCGTCAATATACCTAGGTTCTTGCCTGAAAGTATTGTTGATCCACTGCTACTAAACATGGAAGACGGTTAAGCGAAAGCTTCTTCTATTCCATAGCACGACCATGGTCATTACGTGAGCTATCACATTGCCCATCATGGATTAATAAGAATACCCGGAAGCTGTCAAGGCGTAGAAAAAATTTCAAGGCTTATTCTTGTCAACAAAACCCGCATCATTTAATATGAACATGTAGTGACCTACTTTTATCAACAGAACGCGATTGGTGTAATGGAAATAATAATTATTATAACCAATTGTACCAGTTGTTGTTTTACTGTACTTGTTTGTTTAACTCTACCAAAGACATTCTTCTTTCCCTTGATTGTGGCCTTGTATGCGCTTACGTTCGCTCAGTGAATCAGCTCGTACTCCTTTGGCACAATCTCGGTATTCTTTCGATACCACGAGATCGCCAACAAATATATTTCGCTACAACCTCCAACTGCCTTCTGATATCTGGTAGTTGTGATCATAGAGAAAACGCGACTGGACACCACGCTACAAATATAAACAAATCCGGAGTACATGTAAAAAGACCATAGCTAAATCCTGTACTAGTTACGGACGACAGCCATACTTGTCCGAAACTATTGTTTAAGTATGTTAGACGGTGAACAAAAGGTAGTGATTGTATTCCTTTATTACTGTCACACAAAGATTCAGATTTACCAGCTGAATCAGATCAGTTAAAAGCTGGGACATTTTCGAACTATTTTAGCGAAGTCTACTTAACGTGTTTTGTTACAAATACTAGTCTCAATCACACCGATATACCAGCCATTTGATCTGAGAACACTGTGTTTCCATCAATAACTAACCTCAAGCCTTGTAAGGTAGCGGGCCCTGATGGGTTTGTAGAGGCGAATTCCTCTATATCTGACTCCAATAAATGATATCTCGTTAACTGAGTATTTAACGCTGGCTAAATCTCCTAGTAGACTTATGGATTTACTCAAGATTATTCAGGAGCCTGAACACCAGTTGTAGAGATATTTTATTGTTAAAGATTAATAAAATCTACAAGCGTGCATAGAGCAAGCACCGAGTGAAACAAAGCACGTGTGCCCGTGTTAAAAATCCATATATATTTATGACTGTTAATCGACTTTGGATAAATTATTGATTACCTGTGTCTTACAACCAATGGGAGAATAGATTCAAGATTGATAAGTAGACACGCGCACAATCATACTCATACAGAAACTAACATAGTGGAGTAAGTGTCTAAATTACAGTGAGCAAACAAACAATACGTTAGTGAAATCTGTTAACTCCCAAGCAACATGGATTTTGTAACAAGCCTTCGTGCTTGACTAAGTAACTTATAGCGAAGAATGGTTGGACAACAGCCCTAGATAACGGCCCGTCTGTCGGTGTGTTGTTCATAGATTTAAGCAAAGCATTTGACAAGTTTTCACACTTAGGTCTTATTTAGAAGCTCTCGAGCTTCGGAATAATAGGTGCTGTACAGTAATGGATAGGAAACTTGTTATGTGAACTTAAACAGAGAGTGAGGGTCAGTGGAACGCTACCCGAATGTAAGCCGGTCAAAATTGGTGTACCCGAAGGTACGTCTTAGGCCCTATGCTTTTCCATCTCTACGTTACTGAATTATAGCTGTTGCTTAAGTCGTCGACGATATTGTTTTCGGATGATGTAAAAATCTGGAGAACTATAATAATTGAGGCTGATCATTTGGGTCTCCAAGCTTACTGAGGTAAATTAGTTAGATGGACTCGACGTTGGGGCTTAGAAGTTAATTCTAGGAAGTGTTCTCATGCACATCGGACACGTATTAGTCACAATTATGCTATTGATGGCACATCTCTTCCACACGTTCAAGAACATAAAGACTCAGGAGTAATAATAAGTCATGAATTGAAAACAAGTACGCATTGCAACGCAGATGCTGTCAAAGGTTTTCGTGTGTTATGGTCACTTCGCCGAGCATTCAAATATCTTGACGAGGAAATGCTTAAAATTTTATATCCTACCTATGTAAGACCACAATCAGAGTACTATATTCAAGCGGCTAGCTCGTGTCTGATAACGAATACAAACTCATTTGAGCGTGTTCAGTGTGTAGGAACAAAATTATTGAAGGGTCTTTCTAAAACCCTTAACTATGAGCGCTTAAATCGTCAAACGCTTTTCCACTTTTCTTATCTTTAACTATGATTTGGGTGTTAATATGTCTTATCTTTTTGCTCCCTCCAGCTCTAATAGTCTCCGAATTCATAGCAAGAAGGTTCACTAACAGCTATCTAATAAACTTAAAGTGGGTCATCGAGTAGTCAATGACTAAAACGCCTTACACGAACAAGTGGTATCAGCTTCATCAGTGAATATTTTCAAGGAGAAGCTGGACTTTCACTGGAAGGCAATCTGTCAGGATTAACACAGGTTCACCAACCTACTATTCTTATTGCTGAAAACTGAAGACCGGATGACCACCCAATGCCAGGCCGTTCAAGGTCGTCGTACACGAACGACGAGCGACTTTAAGTGAGCCTGACCTTTTTTTGCCGTCCGTACAAACTTCCTCCATTTATATTTTTTACTTCCTGATTGGCCTAATTCGAATCATTTGTTACCGTCGTTTGTTGTTTATTGTTTTCTTTAGGAAATGTAAGTGCATTTTGTCCGCTTCTTGGGCCGTCGACTAACGTTTTCTTTTTACTTTAACGCAGATAAATTGTTGTACTCACTATTGTTTGGTACCTTTTATTCCAATCTGGAGATCTGTATACCTCCTAAGTAAGACATTTTACTAGGTGCTTTGTTGAAATCTGTCATATCGGTAGACTTAGATAATTTTGGTGTGCTGTCTAATTTTGTTTCAAAATTAGTAAGTTAGGCATCAGTATCGGCTCCGAATCCTGTGCTACCCAGGAGTTAGCAGATTGCGTGATCCTTCAAAACTACGTAACTGAGAATTATTCAAAATATCTTAATTACTATGCTAGTTAGGCCGCGGCTTAACTAGCATATCGCGATATCGGCGGTTAGACACAATGTTTCTTTCCACACTTTATGGTTACACCTTTCCATTCCCCAGGAAGCTGAGTTCAAATAAGAAATGTATTTACCAACACTGAGTGAATCGATTGATCACTTTTGTTCCAATGTTAAAAGCTTGGGTTATGTAGATAAATTCATAAGATCAGGCAATACGAAGACCCTCACACATTTTCTACAGAGGTAGTAGTCTAAACACATTACGCAGTCACATCACTGAGACTGCATGTGGCACCATAGTTTATGATAGAATGGTCGGTAGGTTGAAACTTTGTAAGGCTTTGGTTCCAAACGGGTTTCATTATGAATTCTTACCACTCTTTGAATACAACAAAGAAAATGGTGACTGTTTCTGTCTCGATATTGTTTTTGTAATATTTGCTTTTCCATTTAGTATCTGAGGTCTCTTCCAATGAGTAGGGACTGTACAAAACATTTGGCAGTGATAATTTATCAGGTTTAACATATATAAGTGTCAATATGCTCGGGATAGCTATGTATATAGTACTTACTACACTGCTTTCATTGTGTCTTGGATTAGTCCTGAATATTGTGGACAAAATCTTCTATTCGGCCTAGTTTAATTAAAGGTGATATAATGGTCTAATATACACTTTACCAGGTCTTGCCTTGCTCATGTCTATAAAATATTGCATTCACAAAATGTCTGAATAAGTAGGCTAACTCCTTTACAAAGTACATTTTTACCCGGTCATTTCTGGGCCACATGAAGAGGTGATACTGCTCAAGTCATAATCCTACCTGACCCATTCATTACATTTAATCATATACCCTTATTTTTCCTACTAACTAGATTCAGTTCACATAGGCATTTTAGTTGCAAACCTGTGAAAGATAGTCATTGGTTTGGTAGTTGCATATGATCACTTAATTTTCATAATTGTTGTTTGCAGAGACGAGACTGAAAGAATTATTCAGAGTAACCATGACACCTATTATAAATTGTCGGTAAGATCTTTAATATAGCTGTTATAAAATTTTCACCAAAACATGAAGCAACTAATTGACTGAATTGGATGGATAAATATGGATATTTGTCTGCTAGATGGCTTAGTTCGTACTTCATATGTTGTGTATCGACATACCGCTCTTAGAGTGAACTTTGCTACTTTAGATTTATAAACGTTTCATTTACAGAACTAATAATTCAGGTATCTTTTCCTTCTATATTGTTATTCTGTATTTATGGAATGATGTAATAAAACATTATACACTTAACAAGTTTATGTGTGACCAGATTGTTCGAAATGTATTGCGCTAGTATATCACATAGTTCAGATAATCTTCGCCTTTTTATTACACTATCGAAATTTATCAAAGAGACTAATTGCTTTATAAAATTACAATCCAAAACATGAAACAAAACTTTTAAATGACAGAATATTTAATTACGTTTTAACCCTAATATGATCTTTGTTAATAACTTTTCCTAGATGAAGCGACAAAATCATGTACAGTTGGAATCAAAGCCAAAGGTTTGTAGAAAGCTTTCTAGGGTTATTTTCCATTGTAGCTACAAAAGCGTACTGATTTTTTAAATGACCTAGATGGACTCCTTGTCAGCTCTAAAAATTTCAATAAAGTATGGCTTAAATATTATTTTATCTAACCTAGTTTATCAAAATCTAGCTTTTCGTACAGAAAACAAGTCAGGAATGGATCAAAACTCAAGTTGAGAAGCTTGTACAAAGTCACATTCATTTATTTCGATTTATTGAAGTTTTAACAAACTTCATTGTATCTGGAAATCATCATCCACATGTTGTTCAACAAGTGCTTGTTTGGTTAGATTATTGTCTACAACACCATTCAACTTCTATGCAAACACCAGAAATTCAGAAGGCATTAAAGAATTTATGTTCATATTACTACGAAATGTGTGGGATGGGGAATATGTTTTTAAGAGCTGCTAACCGTGGTAGTGCCATGGAAAATTGGTCAAATGTTCAAAAGCTTATTAGTCACTTCCCTCGTAGATTTTATTATCCTGTTCTACCTAAAACAAAGTTTGTATACATTGATGGTAAGTACTAAAGTGATGAGATTTTAGACGTTGTATCGGTGCTAGATTTCTTTATACAATAGTGAATTATTACCTAGTTTAATGCAAATGGAGCTTAATAAAAGGTCTGTCTATTTGGATCACCCATACTTATATAAATTATACTATTGAGGATATCAGTGAAAAAGAGGAATCTTCTTATTTTCTTAAATTGACGGAAAAGTCACAGTATGGTGAAACCTATTAAACTAGCCTCAAATAGGCCCGTTTGCATTACTCTACCATTCAGAAGTAAGACTAGTAGCCTTGCACTTTCTATCAGGTTCTGAGCATGATGAGGGAAAACATGTAAGATCTAGGTTAACCAAAAGTTGACAAAACGATCGTAAGCAGTGGTTGGCAACAAAAGCAAAAGTGATGGAAAAGGCAGCGACTTTAGTTAACACAAGACAGAATTAAGAAGTCAAGTGTGAGACAATCTCGGAAAAAGACGGCACTGTTATATGCTCTCAGTACCTCAAAATTACATAAACCGTGTGAGGACTACTCGGACGTTGCTTATAGCCAACTATCATCTGATTTCGCATCCTTAAGTGATGTCCGGCAAGGCTGTCCACCATCTTCATTTTTGTTTAATTTCATCAAAAGACCCACTGCTGGTAATAACGTTCTCATCGTCTGAATTTTCAGGAATTGATCTCCTACCATGAGGTCCACTTATTAACTTAAAATATGCAGATGACATAGTTCTGTGTTAATGATGACACTGATAAAATGCAGTCTCTTGGTAGCACCGAGCAACAATGCCAGAATGTTTGGAATGCGCTTCTCCTCCTCTAAATGCAAGTTGTTGCTACAGGACTTGCCTGCGTCAAATCCTGAACTAAGGATAGAAAGTGAAGTAGTCGAACGCGTCGACAACTTCACTTATCTTGGAAGTCTGGTCAGCCCTGATGGGTTGGTGTCTGATAAAATTTCCGCACGGATTCAAAAGGCTCATTTCGCTTTTGCCAATTTACATCATCTGTAGCGAAGGCGAGATATCCGTCTATCAATTAAGGTTAACGTATACTACACAACAGTTCGTTCTGCTATCGTAACCAATGGTTAGAGACTCTGGGTGACATGGCTCAGAATCGATCACAATGGCGTCGGTGTATTCATTCTTTGTCTTCTCTTAAACTGTGAGATTAAAATTACTTTATACATTTTCTACGAACTAATTATTTCTCCCTATATCATATCCTTATATGCAACCTTTCTTTTACATATTACTACCATTGAAGTAACTACTTCTATGGATTTGTTGTTCATCTTGTGCTAATGCGGTATAGCAACTTGGACCGATGAATATATGTGCCCTTGTTTTAAGACAAAGATCCCATTTCATGTCTTAGTGAGACATACTATATACGAAAAGTCACTATCACTCAAAAAACGGGGTCCATACTTCACCAAAAACTATGCAGATCAGGTCAAAACTCCCTGCGTTTATCATTCTACATGCGTGTGTGTTTAGAGTTTATGTGAAGGTTTATTGATGCCTTGATTAAACCCCCTTTACATTTACAAAAGCAGTGTTCCCACCTTAAACACCTACCCTGGTGATAATGAACTATTGTTCAGGGTGGTGAGTTTCATATTGTTCCTCCTCTATCTCCGTTTCCTAGTAACTCCAATTCGTCTAATCGGTCTTTTATTTTTCGTGTATATGTATGATCAAATTGTTCAAAACTCATTGCGCTAGTAAGTCACATATTTCTGATTATCTTCGTATTCTTAATACATTACCCAAATAAGTACATGGTTTAGCGATACTATAAAATTTTAAGCAGAGATGAATGATAGCCAGCAGGATGTGTATTTCTTCCTATTTAGAACCCGCCAGCTAAATGTACGTGCAACCCACAGTTGATGTTCACTCCGGGACTCGAACTCAGTGCCACTCGCCTCAAACGCTATCGCGTTATCCATTCAGCTACTGAACTCCATTGCTAGCCTCTATCCATCTCTGCTTATAATGCTTGTGACTTAAGGCAATATCGAAGCAATCCGCACTGGATGTAAATATGCTAATAAGAGACTAATTAATTGCAGTCCTAAGCGTCAATGGGAAGATTCAAACGATAAATACAAAAATAAACTATGAAGTTTTATTTGAAAATTTAGGATTTCTATAAGGTGACTGAGTAAATTGTAGTAATAAGTCAGTCAGTCCAATGAATCCCGGAACCATATACATGCATACATCAGTTAAAGTTACCATACTCCATTAGGAAATTTCGTTGTATGAATGAAGATGAACCCCAACAGGATTCTAATACTCAAGCAGATAGCTATAATATTAAACAAAGACTTCGAACTCCGATTAAGAAATATTGTTTGTGAAGTAGTTCAACACTTGATCTTATTCATATTCATGTCTCTCTTATCATAAGCTTTATTTTAACCTATAGTCAGTTATTATACGATTTTCCATTCTTGAATTATTCCTTGTTTACTAATCACTACCTCCCACGTTCACAGCCACATTTGGTCAGATTCTGTACCAATGATATTTTCTATTTTATGGTACGTTGTGGTCTGTTTGTTTGGTATATATAACCGAGTATGTTTGAAAACATGATTCATATCGCAGAGGCTCGGATTGGTGCTCTGGACTTAACTAGCTGAGCTAGGCAGGAAGCGAGACCAATCAGGATCTAGGCTGCTCATACGAATTTACGCGTCATTGATTCGATCGATAAGTCACTGCTCTCTAGTCGGTGGTCATAAGTATAACAATTGCGACGACCAAACATAACATTTTGTAAGTGATAACTAGTGCATACTTGCTTGATAAAAGACATTGTTCCTTATACTGAACATGTTTTGCTTATTCCTTCTAAAGAGAATAACATTTCAAATTAAGGTACTCTGTTTCCTGAAGAATGGCGTTAAAATGCTCAGTTTCGTGTTTAGATATTCCTTACAATAAAATGATTTATATACAGTCAGACCAGCTTTAGAACTATTGGGATACTGGGTAACAAGCTCAAAATCTATGACGTATACTTCCTGTAATAATTTCAATAGACCAAATGGCATAGAAACTTTTCTCATTTTCTTCATTAGTTGTGGCTATTTATAATATGTGACATGAAATAGTTCAATTTTCTATCTCACTCCTTAGATGAAAGCAATCTTACCGGAAAATCTAATGCTCCACTAAATTTATATAGTTCCGAAAACAATGAAGAAAATCTTGATATCCTGAATGATGAATTTTTGGATGTAGATACAATGTCATCTTTGATGAAAGATGACTCAGAGTATGAACAGGAATCATTGTATCAATCAGTTGAAGAATCTGATGCCGGTGTATTTGATGTCAATGAACCACTGTCACCTGATGCAGAACAGTTTCTTAATAGTATAAATGATGACTGGGAAGATGAAATAATTTCTTCTGAAGCTGAAAGTGATTCGGACAAATTTAATTATCCTGAAATAAAAGATTCTGAAGACGATTTGTCTGTATCAACCGAAGTAAGTCCAGTCATTTCTATTATGCAATTTATTTATTTAAACACAGACATGAGTACAAGGGGGCACCAAATACATATGCGCCACACAATAACAATGAGGTTTTGAAGAGATAGAGAAGAACAATAATAAATACAAATTAGTGGATGAGAGTGAAATGATGATAATAAGGAGAGGAGCAGTACAGTTAGGAAAAATACAACCAGAAAAAAGTTGCGTCCATTTCTTTTTATGAAGAAAGTTGCAGTAGGATTGCCACTGACTTCCGTTCCGATTCATGTCTGCTCACCATCCAGGGTGAGTACAGGATTAGAATCCTGCCCGTCTTGTAAGAGTATTATGTACTAGGAATGTGCAAAGCACATACCGTACCTACGGACACTGATTAAGTGCGGATTGCATGACTTGGGCATTATCGCACAGTAAGACAATAGCATCCGCATACTCAAAGTTGAGAAGTCTTTCTCCAGGCAACAGACTCACACCACCATTACTTACATCCATCAGAGCTGTTTTCAGAATGTCATCGATAACAAAGTTGGAGCGGTTGGGCAACCTGTTAACCACACTGCTTGAATGGAACAATGCAGAGAAGTGGTTGTATGCTCCCACTCTGCATGAAGTGTTTGTATATAGGGCTTTTAAGATGTTATAAACTTCTCAAATACACCCTTCTTCAATAGACAATCCCAGAGAACTGTTCTGTCCAACGAACTGAAGGCAGACCTGATTTCAAGAAACACTACGACTGTTGGTCTGTGATAAGTATGACATTTAGTGGCGGATGAAGATATGATTACTATATCCTCGATCAGAACGAAAACCAGCCTGCTCCTCGCGAGTTGATCTTTCTCGGGTATTGAACAACCTACGAAGTATGACGGAAGCCAACAGCTTGGACGCAATCGGAAGTAGACTTGTCCCCAGATAGTTGTTGCGGAGACGACGTGAACCCTTTTAGAGTATAGGAACAACTGTCGAATCACCCATCGACGTTGGGAAACTCCAATTGTCAGACCTTTGTAAACAACTCAGTCAGTTTCTTAACCAGAAGGTCGCCACCATCTTTAAGATGGGCCAGAGATAAGTCGTTTTGGTCTGGTGATTTACGGAGCTTCAATAGCTAGAGTTCCTTGCGGACTTCCACCCCATTAGGTAAATCAGTAGTCACAGACCATGGAGGGCAGTACAGTCTGATTAATGTCGATGGGGCAGCAAACCAGTTGGACTTCCCGTCTAAGACGTCGATAGATGTTAATGACTGGCATCCCATCGTCACAGATTGTTTCGCTCACGTGTACTTGGTTGTTGGGTCTCACCAACGTTACTCATTGAACTTTGTATGAAATCCCTTAGAGTATATCCACTAATCTATTAAGCCCCCAAATGCTCTGTTGCGGTTAAAATTGAAGAGTCAGCTCTCCCTCTCGAAATGCTCTCACATGGTCACGCGTACACAACCTCTGCCAGGGAAGTCCTACTCACTACCTTCTCGCACCACGAGTAATGTTTACGAAATTGAGAGGACGAAAAGCGAATGTCCGGCGCTTTAACCGGGTTGGTGGACACGAGATGTTCACCTAGGGGGTTGAAAATCCCTGATTCCAAACCATTGGTGCACATGGACTTCAGGATCTTGAAGAAACAAATGGTGTGTGAACCAATTACTGGTCACCGGCTACCATGGGACTGCATCTCCTTACGTTGCTCCACTGCCTTGTGAATCAAACCTTCGAGTCAAAGGCTCCGGGTGTGGTCACCTAAGAAAACCACCTGCTTCGGTCTGGGCACCCGTGCAGTATCACAGCACACACGCAAATCAAGTGATTTGTGTGGTGCATATGTATTCGGTGCCTTTTTGTACCAATATTTATGTGTTCAAATAAATAAAATCAAAATCTATTAAACTTCAATTTTTACCCAGTGTATATATTAATTTGTTTTTAACGTCATATCAAGATATCTTCAACGTCTGTCAAAACAAGTTTGTTTCCGGATGTTACTGAACAATTAGGAACCGTTGGGAATGATTGTGATGTTAATAATGGTGAGAAAAATGAGAAAGTTGTTAAACCGAAAACAAGCAAATCTAACCACCCAGCCTTAAGTCAATCCCCAAACAAATGTCAAAAAGACCGTCGATCAAGTTCAAGAATAAATACTTCTCAAAAACAGTGATTTCCTATTAGACGTATTTATGTGATATTTGTATATAAATGGACAACATACAATAAATTTTCTGTTCTGGATTATAGAAGGGTTGGTGCGATCTTGTATTTACAACTCCTCATTAGGAATGTATGCGAGACAGGATGGTCATTATCGTATCTATACATGAACTTAAAGATTCTGTTTTAACAAGTTAACAACAAAATGTCTGACACATTTCACTTAGATATTTCTTCCTATTGTATTTTAAATTGAGACCACTTAGTAAGACAAAACATTTTTCTTCCATGCTCATTAATTTCTCAGTTTATAAAAAACTCGGAGGCATGTATGCATCATTGTGTAATTGGATCACAAAAAAGAACATCGTTGTAAAGTTATTTGGAAGTTTTTGAATCAGGTGGTTAGTTAGCCGATATTTTTGGTTGTATCCCAGTGGATATCAATTGAAGGACTAATTATTGTGGATTTAATTAGGATATCCCACTTATTTATGTACCGTGGCTGAAACTAAGGTAGTGCTTATATTATGGTTTGATCATATGAATTTAAAAGAGAGCGGTCTAGTCATATGGAAGCTGATTAACTGATGTTAAGTAAAATGGCAACCGATCTAAATCCTTTTCGTATTTGATTACTAAATGATCTTAGGACGCAATATTAAATGATCATTACGAATCATAATCCAGGGTTATTCGGATATCAAGGACAGTTATGTTTTATGATTATGAATTGTCGCGTTGTCTGATTCGCCAATATGCATGTGTTTCATAAAGCCCTCATTTTGAAAGTATGACTCAATACACATTGTAACTGTTTAGTGTACATGTAGTGGACTATAATTTACTTTTAGTTTTGAAAAGCACTTTTTTCCGTATTCTCAAATAGTTTTCATGAGTTACTGGAATAGGTTTCTCTGATGTTTACTTATACTTAAGGTATAAGTAAGCCTGTGATCCGAGATCATAATATCAAGAGCAAAAGAAAAAATAGAGAAAAATTGTCATTGTTATTAAGGAACATTGTATAGGGACGATATATTTTATTCTCGTATAAAAATAAGATTAGCAAACATGATTCCTCAGTTTATGGCTTTACAGTTTTTTGAATAATAAAATTTAAAGATTTTGTTCCGTATCCTTTTTTTGTATCAAACGTGATAAGTCACGTCGTCTCAGTAATTTTCTACATACAGGACATTGATGATCACCCTAGAATTCAAAACAAGAACGGGTTAATACGCTTGCTCGAAAAAAATAGTGAGCTAGTAGGTAATCTAACAAACAGCACAAATGAAGAATGGAATTAGAAATAAACGTTAATCTCAGTATGCATATAATGTAATATAGCCAGGAGTTATAATTGTACTAACACAGTAAACATGATTAATAGGTCCCACTTAATTATGAAAAATCCTCATATCGTGATTTAGAGCAACATTTATAAGCGAACAATATTGTTTTCGATTCTAAATTACTTAAATATAGTAAGTAGTACTTACTTTGTCGATGATATGTCGCCAACATTTAAAACAAGCTATGTGCTTACAGCATGATATCACTGGAACTTCTGCCGGATCGGCTGAGCATTTGCAACATTTCATTGAGACTTCAGGTGTATTCTCTGGTTTCACTTGTTGATTTGAATTAATTGCTAAGCTGCGAGACACTTGGAAAAATATGGAGTACAATAATTAAAAAAAGTCAAACAACATATTTTGCTGAAATCTATCTTATTATTGACGTAAAGGATTCTTACCAATTACAAATTAAATATAGTCTCTACATTTCTTCGTGCTTAAGTTTTGTAGTAGTCTACGGACAAAGAATATTTTTTAACTTAGGTGTACGTAACAAAAAAATGAATAAAGCGCCTTACTTGATATGAGTTTAATATCTCAATAACTAGATTATTTATTTATTTTAACACGTAGATATTGTTACAAGGAGGCACCAAATACATATGCGCCACACAGATCTCATTTAATATGTGTGAGGGCTGTGGTGCTGCCCGGGTGCCCAAACCGAATAAGGTGGTTTTCTTTGGGGGCCACACCCCGAGCCTTCGACCTGATGATCTGATCCACAAGGTAGTGGAGCATCGTAAGGAGATGCGATCCCATGGTAGTCGGTGACCAACGGTTGGTTCATACGCCATTTGTTCCTTCAGAATACTGAAGCCCATGTGCACCACTGGTTTGGGATCCGGTTAAAGCGCCGGACATTCGCTTTTCGTCCTCTCATTTTCGTAAACAACGCCCCGCCGCGAGAAGGCAGTGAGTAGAACTTCCCTGGCAGAGGCTGTATACGAGTAGCCATGTGAGAGCGGACTCTCCCCACTCTCGGCCGTACCAGGGCATTTACATCTGGAATTTGAAGCAATTCGTCTAGTAATCCCACTTTATTGGGGTAATACTTCGGAAAGAATCTTTAGAGGAATGTCTTAAGTTATTTATACAAAGAAATATTGACGTTGCACAACTATAGAGTAGTACTGAGGGCAATAATAAGAACTATAATGATTATCATTAACATTCTGATATTACCCCATAAGAATAAACAAGAAATACTAGACATGCTTTTGATGACTATGCAGATTTCGTTAGCCACTAGGACAATTCTTGGTTTTACTCCATGAAAAAGATCGAAAAACAGCGCTAGAAATACATATGTGGAATGCAACATACATAATTCAGTGTTACAAGCAGTATAGACTGATGATGAAAACACCGAGCTTTCAGGTGGGTTTTTACAAAACAGTGAAAGAATAATCTGAGTACAACGTAAATGAGCTTATTTTAATCGATTACCTACCTTGATCTGACGTATCTACAGATTTATTTATTGAATTTGATTGAACAAGTGGTAACCCCGTCAAATTATGACACAATTCAGCGTAACGTTTACGATGCTCCGGTAAGATAAAACAAATGGCGTCTAATAAGAAACATATGTAGTAGACACATACAGATACGTACAAATAGATTGCAAAAGAATAGATTGCTTATTAATAAAACCGATATTTTCAAGTCAAGAAGATATATTTTCTGAGAGACATTTATTATATCTGTTAGAATTGACAATTTGTGCACAAATATTTCAACATCATTGTAGGCGACCTGCGGATTTCTACAAATAGTAATTAAGATGTTAGACTTTCAAACACTAACTCCCTGGTTCGAAATTCCGCCCAACCTATACTACAGTTTAGACAATGGGAATATTATTGAACTTCATACCTAGAATGTGGCTCACATCCAAGTGCATGGTGAGTGAAATAATGTAGATTTCTTATAAACAACAAGAACTGAAAATTCGAAATATTATTTCATATATTAAAACGCAAAATATCTGACATGGACATGGGATTTGAAGTAATCGTTTATATGCAGTTTTGGTTTCGGTGAAACATAAACGTTGACTTTATGATAGTGAATATAGTTGGACTGTAAAAATATAATAATCATTTCAATCTTTTTAATATAAGACCATTTAACTTACCCATGTACGGCAGTATGACAGATACTCAGTTTTTGAGTCCGAAACTTCAGTTATTCACTGTCTCCAAACTACATGAATGTTGAATTCATGTAAGTCCTCCAACTCTCAGTGAGGCTGGAAATGCTATAGGGAATCTACAGCGATGGAGGGCAGCAGGGTTCGATGGACTCATCCCTAAGGTTTTTAAGGTTGGCGTTCCAGGTTTAGCACTTAAATTAACTGAGATTTTAGCTAAAATCTGGAAACTGGATGTAATCTAATTTGACTAATCTAGGTCGCTGGTCGTCCCAGTTTATAAGAAACGACAAAATGTTCTTGTGACAATCACAGAGAAATCAATCTGACAACTATAATATCTAAACTAGCCTCAATAATAATCCGACGCTAAGATGCGGTTCGCTAAGAGCAAACCTGATAAGACAAGGCTGGTCCTAAACCTCAACGTGGATGTATAGACTAAATATTCACCGCTCGGCAGATTTTGGAACATAGACGTACCCTTCGACAATAGTTGTTTTCCTTGACCTTCATGCAGTATTCGACTCCACGAATTGACAGCTTTTGTAGCAATGTCTGTCATTGAAAGGCTTGCCAAAGAAGCATGTTAACTTTATACAAACTCACTACTTGAACAGTACTGGTCAATTCACAGCTTATGGAGAACTGTTATCGGAACTGGTTACTTCAAGTGATGCTTGTACAAGGTTTTCTGCTTTCCTTGTTTTTATGCAACTTTGTCATAGACATCTTTAAGATCACACTTTTATCGTCTAACTTTCCGAAGGTCGCTCTTCTACTAGGAGATTCATTTGTTAACTTAAACTACCCAGATGATATATTTTTGTGAAGGTGTTGACAAAATGCAGTCTTCTAACCCATCAGTTCTGATGGGTTGGTGTCTGACGAAATCTCGACACAAATTCAGAAGGCCTGATGGATGCTTTCCAAACAGCTTTACTTTATGGATATGAAACGTGTATTAAGAATAGATGATTTTCACATGGTACTACTATATGATGATAATTAATATTGAGGAATTGCTTATGTATTTTGGGACTATCGAGTAGGTAATGTCTGGTTTAGGGATAGAGTACTAAAAAGGGATGATAAACCGACTGGTGTGGCAGTAAAGCTTAATCTGCTGATGTGGTTTGGACATTTCTTAAGTATGCACAACCACTGTTCACCATGGTAGGCGATGTCTAATGTGAGAGCAGGTTAGAAGAGTCGGTCAAACCAAGACATGGAATCAGTCCATGAAGTTATTGACTGATAAACTGGTCCGTGTTGGTAGGTGTAGACTATCTGGTTATGGTCCGCGTGATCGTAACGGGTGGTTAAAGACCTTGAATGATGTCGAAATCGCTTGAAATGTCACAGGTGCACTAGCTTTTTTGTATTCCCTCAAATTATGACGTTCTACATTCTTCGTAACGTTTTTTGTTTATACTTCACTAATTTATATTTTCCTCTGGGACCGTATCTTCGATGCGTAATCTTTCCAATTACCACTCATACTGTTAATACCTCTTCTATTCTGGGATTTGGTCTGACAATTTCATCTCGCTGTGCTAGTGGTGTATATCAACTTGAACTGATGTACATATGTACCAGACTGTTCATTACGTTTGACTAACTGAATGTGATAGCTTTTTAAATATTGACTAATTTAAAACAGCTTTTATGGTCTGAAATTAGTTGAGGGAATAGAAAGACGAATGATCAATACCTTCAGTGAAGTAATCTATGCAAAACAACAAGAATGATAAATATTTCCCATTCATATTTGACTGATCTCAAGTACTTTTGGCACCACACGAGCTTAGAGAAACTGACTGTTAAGACGTCCTAGATAGACTACATGCTATCTATTCATATA